CAGAGGAAGGAATGTGGAGGCAGATAAAGAGGGTGGCTGCAACCCTGGCTCAGCCTGTCTTCATCCATGTGACATGGAATGGAAGAGCAGTGGGAGCCTGGAACTGGGCATGTGGCTCCGGGTGATAGTGGAATCCTGGGGAGCTGGCTGTGAGTGGGCGGGGAGTGCAGGGGGGGAGGCACAGTGGTCAGAGGGGACAGTTTGGGAATCACATTTTCTACAAAGTAACCACCACAGTCATGTGATATTGAAGCAAGTTTTGCAGAGAGAGCACAGTGTTCCCTCGAACTTGAACTTGTAAAATCCAATGGCAATGGCATTTGAGATGAACACGAAAGCAAGAATTGTTTTCTAAAATGCTCCGGAAAGGAAAGAGCCATTCTGTGATGTCAATTCTAGTCGGCCTTGCTGACTTGGGATCTCCAGACTCTGGAGGTGACACTGGATTTCATTCACAGAAACCCTATTAATTTATGGTTAGAATCAAGCAAAAAGAATTTTCCTGGTAGATTGATTGATTGGTTCCCCATAACCCCTCTGAGATTCGCGCACCCGTGAACAGAAGACTGAGGCAACCATCTCCTGTTCATAATTCAGTGACTGTTCTTAAGAAACCATTTTATCTGGAATGCTCAAGATGGCTGAGACACTTGATATTATTAATCACATTAGGAGCCCTAAGTGATTGCTTACTGGAAAGTATTTCGAGAAATTTGCAGATGGGAAATGGAAGGCACCACAAGTCTGCTGGTTCTCTGCCCATTTTTAATTTTTTTTCCCCCAAAGGTAGGAAATGTCTTTTTTTCACTGCGAGATTGGCTCACCACTCTGTGAACTGGAGTGAGTGGACTGGGTCAAGGGTCAGGGGAGTGGAGTGAACAAAAGAATGTGGGTGGCCACTGCACAAAGGGCCACTTCCAGGCAAGGTGGTCAAGTTTGAACTCAGCAAAGAACTCCTGCATGGCCTGCCAAGAGGATCGGGTTAATTAGGTAGGAAGGTGTGGGAGGAAACCGATGTTAGTGGAACATTTAACTGGATGCTTCAGTGCTTAACTGGATTC